TAAATGCATTGTCCCTAAGTCACATGCACACTTTGCCTAAATTTGAACATGATGCATCTCGTATAAGGAAGCAACTGCTTATGTGACATGGCTTCAGAAATGCTATGAAGCTCTGCCAACCTTCAACATTCCGTGTTCACCTTCTCCGCTGGATGAATGGTATTAAAGCAATATTTCCAAGGCTAAGTGTTAGGAGACAGCGCTCCATGTATCTCTCTTGCTCCTATACATCTTGCTAGGTGTTTGGGGGATGAAAGACTGTCACTATTCCTTACACAGGTTATTTATCAGAACTATGGCGCATTGAGCAGCCTTGAGATATGAGGTAACATCCTCCCCACACCCCCTCACAAAGGGCAGGCTTGCTTCCCACTTGCTATAAAAGTAGTGAATTTCCCACATTGTTGTTCCTCAGGTGTGATACAAGCGCACTGCATGGGAAGCATCTGTCTGTCCCACATCACACAGGACTGGGGCAGAGCAAGGGGAATTGATGCCCATGCACAGCTGGTCCCGCTACCTGCTGTGTCATGAGTATTAAAGTCATTTGTCTCTGACAAAAAGAGTCTCGTGTCTTATTCTGGCATCCACAAAATAATAACCAGATGACTTATTAGCTTATAAGTGAGGTGAAATCACATTGTAGGCCTGATACTAGATTATTATCTGCTGAGCTAGATATTCAGAAGACCATTGCTAAGATAAGGAAGGAAAAAGCTATTAAGAGATTAGCGCAGATTTCTTTATTGTATTTTTTTCCTTCCTTTCGTTCTTTTCTCTGCTCTCAGTTCATGTCCAGGTGTATCTAATCCCTTTTCTTCTCAACTCTAGAACTGGAAACATGATCTATCTGGGTCATTCTATCCCACTGCTTACAACAGTTGTTTCAGGGATGTGGCTCAAGCAAAATAAGTGAGATTCAATTTACTGAGCACCACGTACAAATAGAGACTGTTCTAGCAGCTACAAATATATTTGGAAGGAAACCAGAAAAGATTCTTCTTTGAAAAAGTTTATCCCTAAGTACAATTTTTCCGAAACTATCAGGACAGAACTGTTGTCCCAGGAAACACCAGGAGAACATAGGACTGAAGTTATCATGGCTATCCTTGGTAATAAATTCATCCAAAAGAAAGCATATGTCAAGATCGATCTCTGATGGCTCATGTTTACTTATTTATTTTTTAATTGACACAACTTATATATATTTATGGTGTACAACATAATGCTTTGAAATATGTATACATTGTGAAATGACTAAATTGAGTCCCTCAATAGAGGTATTACCTATGTCTCATTTTGGGGGATAGAACAATTAACATCTACATCCCTAGTGATTTTTCAAGTTCATAATACACTGTTATTAACTAGTCTCCTTATTGTACAATTGATCTCTTGAATTTATTCTTACTGAAATGTTGTCTTTGATGCCCCGTTTGTACGTTTGTATGTAGCCATGCATGCCTGAAGCTAATCTACTCCTGGATGTTTCATTATATAAGCAGATCAGTTCTATCTTTAAACCAAACCATTGTAAATTGTGTTTCTTTTACCTAAAGTCAAAAGCTCTAATAATACTAGAATTAGGTAAATTTGAGTTATATTGAGGAGTACAGAGTTAGATTAACATTTAAAGCCATTAGAAATCCTATTCTTTAAAAAAGGAAAAAAGCTTGCTTAATTTTATTTAAGGTGTTTTGTTTTCTATAGATCTTTATGCTTATTTTTTGTTTTAATTTTAGTAATACCTATCAAATTTTTATAAAGCCAGTGTTCAATGAACCTCAGTTGGAGATTGTTGAAATATTCTTTTTCCTGCAGATTTATTTCAAACTTGTCAATCAGTGAATCAATCAGAATAAAGAGAAAATGTACACACTCATGAAACCTTTCATGTTTATATTACTTATTCCACATTATTTAATGAGAACCTATTATGAGTTACACATAGTAGAAGGCAGTGAACACATGAACTCAGGAAGACTGAAACACAGGATTACATAAAAATCAGTGCCCTCCCATTGGCCATAGAAACATTATAAAAATGTCTAAAATAATGTAATGTTTTATTTTCATAAAGATGTTTAAAATTAAGCTCTATTACAATAAGACCCAATTAAAACCTTGAAATGTCAATTCATTTTCATGATTTTTGTTAGAAATTACAAAGCAAATTCCTCAGGTGTTATATAGTCACAATCTCTCAGAAGACAGCTCTAGAAATAACTGAAATATATAACCTATTTAGAACATGAGGATAATGGGATAATGTAATTTTTGTAATAGGAAGTCCAATAATACCAGATTTACAACCCAATTTATAGTCTAAAGGGTTCTAATTTGATCAAGAAATAAAACCAAAGTCAATAAACGGCTGTATATATTCTAAACAATGAATGAAAGCTGCTTTATGATGTGATCATGTGGAGGAACATAAAAGAAGGTATCAGTGGAGTGTAATGTAATCTTGAAAGCCAGACTTTCCCAGAAATAAGTTATGTGAATCAATTCAATTCAACAAGATTTTTGTTGTTGTTCCTACCATTTGTCTAGTTCTGTTCTAGGCATTTGGGAGATATTTTAAAATGCAAAAATTATACTACAGCATCCTACAGTCATCTTATGTAGTTTGCATAATCAGTTTGGAAGGCAGATTATCACTTTTTACCTGCCCTCTAAGTGCCCATGAAAAATCAGAGAACAGAAATACAGACAAGCTCTAAACACAAGAAATGAGGAAGGGAGAGATGAACTGCATCAGAGTAGCTGAGAAAACTTCTTAGACGATCTCAAGAGAAGGCATTAATAAAAGCAAAACTATTAGAAGTTCTCATTGTTTTGCTTTTATTATTGGTTTATAAACTACAAAGCATTCACAGTACCACTGCTTTGTCTTGGTCTGAGGGGTAATAGTGACAGGTAGCTAAAGTTCAGGCAGAAGAACAGGTTTAGTGATGTCAGGTGATGGAAAGAAAAGGCAAATGTTTATTTTGACAATTTTTTTGGGGGGATAACTATTTGGAAAAATACTGTGGTGCTTATGGAGAGACTACAATTTCCCAGCTATGTCACAATAAAGAATCAGTAAATTAGATACAGAAAATAGTTCAGTGAAGGAGGCATTAGGGTCATAAGGGTCATAAGATTGGTACAAATAAGTGCTACTGGGCCAGGTTTAAAATGGGGTAGGCCCATTCCTGTGGGAAGTTAGACGAGGCTTGACATTCTTCTCTGAGCTCTGAGGAATAAAGAGAGCTGGACAGGTGGAAGAGCACATAAGGAGGAATTGGCAGAGTTTGATGATCCTCCGCAGAGAGAAAATGTAGCACTCCATCCAAATGAAATAATGTCTGTGAAATCACCTTGAAAATGATTAAGCACAAGACCCCTGAAAAGAGCTATGCAGGGGCCTGTGTCAATTCACTGCATGTCTCTGAGCCTTGGTTCTTCAACTGTAAAATGGGAACAGTCATGCTTCCTCTGTCCTTTCCATGTGACTTTCATAGTAGTTTAATAAAAGAATGTACGGACCTTTTTTTTTCCCGTACTTATTTTTAACAGGTTTATTGAGGCATAATTTCTATTTAAAAATTACATATTAGTATACATAATTTAATGAGTTTTGATCCATGAAATTATCACCATGATCAAGGTGACAAACGTAATCATCACTTACAAAAGTTTCCTCATGCCCCTTTGTTTTTCTTTTTATTTTGTGGTAATGATACTAATGATATCGACCCTCTGGCAATATTTTAATTGCATAATGCAGTTTACCATCTATAGGCACTGTGTGACACAGCAGATCTCTAGGGCTCATTTGTCTTGCAATACTGAAATTCTAGACCCACTGAAGAGCATCTCCACATTTCCTCCATTCCCCAGCCCCTCTCAACCACACTTCTACTCTCTGCTTATACTTTGGTTACCTTATATAAGGGAAATTTGTCCCACAAAGGTATTTTTTAAATTATTGATTCCTTTAAAACTGAAGCTTCTTTATGACTTCCAAACAAAAACCTGGGCATATGTCAGTAAATGTTAAATGAAATCAAAATGAAAATGGAGGGAAGTATTATTTCCAAGGAAAATCAACAAAACTAAAACAAAAAATCTTCTGACTAAAGATGCAAATAAGAAAACTAGAAAAGGAAGGCTTAAAAGAGAAAAAATGCAGTTGAGTATACCTATTCCACAGCCTGATTGCAATGCAGGTTTCTGCCATAGCCTCAGAGAAATTCTAATGTGTTTTGACATATTTATCTGTGGGACTCTGCCATTGCATTAGCATTCTTCAAATTATTTTTACATTTAAATTGATTTCAATTACATAGAATTTCAAAACATTAATATTCATTTGAGATATTTCTGATATCTTCTCGGTGTGCTAAACTTTTTTCAGGCACTGGTTCGTAATTAACCCACTCCACATGTAACTGCTAGAGAACAACCCTATGAAATTCTGATTAGTATAAGAGCCTTTTTGCATATGCTCAAAGTTTCTAAATTATAAACATTCCATTGACAAAGAGTTCACACAAAGTATGCCACCAAGGTTGCACTTTCAAATCTCTCTCTCCTGTTGTTTGAGAATAAGTAACTCAACTCAGGTGAGAAAAATTTCAAGCAACAGACACTCGCTAGATTTTTACTGAACTGAAAGAGAAGAATTTGGTTCTTTCAGGGAGGAAAGGGGATGGAAACAAGAAGTGTGTTGGGGGGTGGAGGGGCCCAACTTGATACCTTCCTGTAAATCCTCTGAAAGACTTGGTGAAAACGGAATAAATTTCCTACGAAAATTTGTATTAAAAATAATAAATAAATTTGTGCAAACAGAAGCACCATGTACAATTTCAGGAGCCTCAGGCAGAGTCAAGGAAGCAATGTCATCGAAATTTCACCAAGCAGAGGAATCCACAAATGTTATGTGGATGGAACACATGAACATTAAATGAAATAATATATAAATACTCGGCACTGGAAAGACTTAGAAACAACAGTTGCGGTTATTTTAACATTTTATTTTGGCTTCACAATTTATCTAAACTTGAACTCAGTGAAAGGCTCGGGGCTACCTTTCCCATGACTGTTGCAGGGAATGTGAGGCTAGGCAACACTGCCCCCTTGTGGTATGTTCTATGTTCTGGGAGGAGCGCCCTTAGGAGCAGACATCTAAGTGAGGTTCAGCTGCATTCCTGCGTTGGATTAGGGGTAATTTGAATTTGTTTTCCTTTGGGGATGTGATCTTATCTGAGGCCTGGAACTTTTCCTCAAAGCTGTATTACAATAGAGAGACTCTCTAAAACATCAGAGGAAAATCTACTGTGAGTGAAGGGTGGTCCAGATGGAGCAGCAGGGAGGGGTTACAAGGCAACCTGCAGTTCTAGCTGAAGGTCTGGGTAGGCTTGACCAGGCCTTAGCCTCTAAGGAGTTCTGTCCTCTGGGGGATGAAAGGGGAGGGGCTGGTGTACAATTATTAGATGAAGTCAGCATCACCAGGGATGTAGATGTTAGAGTTAAAGACATCAAGTGAAGGAGACTTCTTGGCTAGGAGAAGAGAAGAAGCTTAATAGTGTTGTCCAGGTAGAGGAAGCTGATAGCAGCACAATTCAAGCCTCCGGGTGTCACTATATCAGCACAACAGGGAGTTCAGTACCTGAGTAGTACTTTTCTACCCAGCCAGGGATCCTGGAGAAAACAAGAAAGAGAACTCAGGGAGGCATCTTCCTTTAAGGCTTTGTTATTTACTGTCCAGGTTGATTACAACTTATGTCCATTTAATAGATACAAATACTGAGATTCAGAAGCTTGACCAAGTTCATATTTTTTCTAGCATAGACATTAGGACATGGATCCATGTGATAGTAATTTCTCTTTTATTTTACTGACCTGCTTCACTTTGTTTAAAAAAAAAAAATATTTGGGGTTTCCAAGAGATATCTCTTTCTCTGCTCTTTTCAAACAACAAGTAGCCTTTGCCTGAGCCTTTATGTTATTACCTTTTAACAATTTAGGGAAAAATCTCTCAGTTAATCAGAGAGTCACTTTGTAGTCTACCAACAGGTTTCATTAAAATAAAGGAAATAAAACAATACTTTGTATATTTCAAAGTGCTTCAAAAAGAATATCCTGAAAGTTTTAATTATCTGAGCTTGACGGATATTTTCTGTTATATAGTTAATATAGAAGTTAGCTTTCCATTGCTATGACAAAATATCTGAGATAAACAACTTAAGGGAGGAAAGATTTATTTTAACTCATGTTTTGAAAAGTTTCAGCCCCATCACTTTGGGCCTGAGGTGAAGCCAAACATTATGGTGTAGAGTGTACAAGGGAGCAAGCTTCTCACTTCATCAAGGCCAAAAAATGCAGAGAAAGATGATTAGAGAGAGAAAAAAAAAAAAACAGAAAGACAGAGAGAGGGAGGGGCATGGGACAAGACACATCATTCAATGACAAGTCTCCAGTGACCTACTTCTTATAAGAGGCCCCACCTCCTAAAGTGTCCACCACCTTCAATAGCACCACCAGCTGGGACCAAGCCTTCAACACATATTTGGGAAACATCTAAGATCCAAACCATAACAGTGAACTTAAAAATTTATGCATATTTCAAGGAAACTTACTTAACAAGATTATACTCTTAGGATGAAGTATTTTCTTTCAGAGATTTTTAGTCTAAACTTTCAGTGAGACAAAAATAAGCAGAATTGAAGATAATGGCTGAGTCACAAGAACATTGTTAACATATTTAATGTAAGAGAATTTTTTCCATAGCAAATATATAAATCCAATCATCAAGCTCCTTTGGGAGAAAGGAGGCCAACAATTCTTTTTCTAATTTTTCATAGGATGACAGTATGGACAATAATAAACTTAAATTAGGCTAGGATCCACTGAATTATAGCCCTGTCTGTAATAGCATTTTAACAGTGCCTACTAATGCACCTTTGACTTCTGGATAAAATTCAAAATGTTTTCTTTCATTCATTTACCCATAGAAGTTGATTTTTTTTATGTTATTTTATGATCTCTTAGGAGAATAAAGGCAGTCCTCAAATAATTGACATTTGACTTTTGGATTTTCCACCACAGGATGCCTTGTGCAATAAAACTTAACTTGAACCCACACTATAACCCCAAAAGGATAGTAACCCATTCCAAAGTTACCATGTTCTGAGTGTAGGCAAACTGGCACTCAACGTCCTGAGAAAAGTGTGTAATAGAATATGTGTGTGGAACTTGACAAAGATGTTCTCCAAATACTCCAATAATGGATGAGTTTATGTCTGAGTGGAAGATACATAATGAGCAGTCAGGATTTGGTCACTCTAGTATATTAAGTGGAAAGATAATTAATAAGAAGAAGTTATGTGTACATGAAACTGCCAGACCCACGGGAGGAACAGAGGTCAGGAAATACAGCCTCTAGCTCTCAGGGATCACCATTACGTCAGAGATTCAGAAGTTTGCAAACACTGATGGCAGTCAGAGCTGCTTCCAGCACAGAGGTCTATTATAACAAGGACAGTACTTAGTGGCCTCTGCAAGATCTCATATCAAGTGAAGCCCTCATATCTGACCACTACTGCCAAGAGGAGCAATAATGAATTTCTGCTTCTATTTCACCTTCCAAATTACATACAAATGCTATTAGTTGAAGGGGAAAAAAATCTACCTCTCCTATAAATGAGAGACTGAAGTTCTCAGGCTGTGTCCAGTTCTGTCACTATAATGACTTCTGTTAGGAAAGGACTCTGGGATCCTCTAAGAAGCTCTGATTATAAAGAGCCAAGGGATCTGCACAAAGGACCCAGGCTTAACAGCTAGGGCCCAAGAGGTTATGTGGTTGAGGCTTGGTTCTGATGCAATATGTGGCTTAAATTGGATATTCTTTTAAGTCAATCAAGTTGGACTCCAGAAACAATAGCTGAATATGTAAGTATGAACTAAAAAGATGCAATTCTAAGAGAAAATGGGAACCATCCATGACTGAAGAAATGAGATTTACCTTCACATTTACCTGTGCAAGAATCTGGACTAGAAAAGGCATAAATGCAGTGGTGAACTCTGACAAACTAATTTACCAAAGTGGCACTGTATAGCAGCTACAGAAACAACCACGGTAGAAAAATGAGTCCCACTGGTGAATCAGTCAGTTCTCCTATTCTTTCTTGGAGACAAGATTGTACGCAAGATCTGCCCTGTAGACTAAGTAGTCCCCTGATGCCACTGAGCAATTCAGAAGAAAGAAAAAATAAACAGAAAAAAGACACCAGAAGTCCTGTGTCTTTCAAATTATAAAATTGAATTGATGTTAATTCAGAAATTTTTGAGGTTTCCAAATAAAGAGGATAAAGTGAAAGCATTTTATGCTGTCTTCTAAAAGCTCAATAAACTGTGTATTTTTAACAAAGGCATAAACTCACATGGACAAGAGGATATTAGAAAAAAAGGCAAAACCAACAAAGCTTTGGAAGCAACAGCAGCTGGATGAATGGCAAATTGCTTGGCAAATGTGGGAATGCTGAATCCTGAGCCAGCTGTAGGAGAGGCTGAAGAGCTACCTGATATAAGTGACAGATCCCCTAGAGACCCACATTCATGGACCAGGTACCCGTGGAAGGCCTGTCAGGGGAAACAAAGATCTAAAAAAGAAAGAAATCCACACGATTCTTTGAAAGTCATTTTTAAGAAACGATTAGACCCCTGGCTCCTCCCCAGCTTCGTGAAGCTGGCCAACCAGGCCTCACTCACTCTGGCAGAAGATGAGGCACATAACTCTGAAAAGAGAGTAAAACCAAGGTTTCCTCTGCTGGAAAAGCACCAGACAGAAGGGCAGGCAGAGGTACCCTAGAAAAAAAAAGAAGAGTTAATTACCCAGAATGTTGAGGACCCCCCTCCCCAACTCCTCAGCATTCTTCTGCCACCTGAGTCCCACACTGCCCACTCTGAGGACTGTGCCATCCAAGTGGGAGACCAGAAACACCTCTCCTGAGCAAAACTGAAAGTTCAGGAAAATAACTTTAAAATTCTTCTCCTAAAGGATTTTCTAAAGGAAACATACCAGTCAACTTACTCTGAAGTCCCCTGTGCATGCACATCCCACCACATACACAAAGCTTTCAAAGTGAATTTTTTTATGTACTCTTTTTAAATATAAATAATCAATATAGATATTTGAGGCAAATCTATAAGTGGCAGACAGTGGATGGACTAAATACCCATTCATAATAGCAACCCGAAGGAAAATAATGCTATGCTGGAAGAAGAAGAATACATTTAAAAGACACCAATAATAGTCTCAGAGAAATAAATGAAGATATTTTATCCGTGAAATAAACCAGAATGATATTTGCTTTAAGGTAACACTTAAATGTAATATTGATTTCAAATAATTGTTATAGTAGAAACACCTTGGCATCTCAACTGCTTAACATTATTAATAGGAATGGGACAGGAGGTGGCTCTGCTCCTTGGAGTTACTCAGGGTCCCAGGCACCATCCATGTTTGTCTTCTCCATCATTTTGATCCTTCCAGGTCTATCCATTCATCTGACAGATAATGAAAGAAATCTTAAAGGATGCATACTTTGTTCCTAACTCATTGGTCATGAAAAAAAATACATTACTATTACTATTTCTGCTCAATTTCTACTAGCACAATGCAAGGGGAATTCAGAAATGGGGCACCTACCTGAGTAGTTACTTCTTATCAGCAATCCATTTTAAGGAGAGGCATACACTTGTGCCACACTATTGCAAAAAAGTATGTGCCACACTATTGAAAATGAAAGAAAGAAAAAGAAGCCAAATAAAATATCTCTTGGAAAATAGAAGATATAATACCAGTTATTAAATAATCAATGTAAGAGTTAGAAGATAAAATTGAGAAACCTGGCAAAAAGTACAGCAGAAAGACAAAGAGATACAAAATACAACAGAAACATAATATAATTAGACATTCATCCCTAAAGATCAACAACCAAATAATAGGAATTCCACAAAGGAAAAGAGAGGAAAATAATCAAATAAATAATTAAGGGCAAATTCAGAGGACTGAAAAACATGAGTTTGTTATGCTCAAATTCGGGACCCCCAAAAGTCCACCAGAGACCAAGGTCGATGTAAGCAGCAAAGAGGTGTTTATTGTAAGCTAGCTTGGTCCTCCGCACGCACACACAGCAACTGGTGACACTGAGAGGCCCCGAGCCCAGGGTTTGCAGCAGTTTTATACATTCTTTGGAGAAGGCAGGGACCCCCACATACATCATAGCATCTCTTAGCAAATCATCACACACCACGGGAAAATCAAACAACAACTCTAAAACATTAATTAGCGTATCACGTGGCGGGAAAGAATCTGGAATTGATTGGTTTAAACCGTGAGGATGTCGCAAGGGGGAGGGAACGTGCCAAGCTGCAGGGCTTCTACTTTAGAAATTGATCACCACACCTAGGTGGGGGCCATCTGGAATTTCAGATATTTGGATATCTTGGCCTATTTTAGGTGATCACCATCTGAGGCTTTTCCAAGAACTGTTTCCATAGAGCTTTTCTGTGGTATTTTCCTGACTTTAAGACTGCAGTAGGTCAGAGGTTAAGTTTCAGAGCAAAATGACGTCCCAAGTAGAATGAGGTTGCTTAGGTCTTTCAAGTTACCAGAATGAAAGATCTTAGATCTGACATAATAGATAAAATAGATTTATACCAAAATACATGACACGGTGTTTTAGATCCCTGGGGAAAACATTATTTTAAAAGGTTTAAGGGCAAAGATCATATTACATACAATTAAGAACTAGAATAACATTAGATTTTTCAACACTAAAATGGAAGCCTGAAGATAAGGGAGCATTGTGATCAGAATTAAAAGGAGACCTTATTTCCAACCTAGAATTGCAGACATAGCCAAACTAGTAGTTAAGGATGATGCTATAATAAAGATAGTCTCAAACATAGACGGCCTCAAAAAGTCTACCTCCCAAGTCACTGAATTGTGTTCCACCAGAGCACAAGATGAACTTAAAATATAAAAAAAAAGAAAGCCAGGAAAATAGGACCTGGCACAAAAGAGAAGCAAAGAAAATCCTCAGGGCAACGGACAACAGTGATCTCAAGAGAGTCGCTGTGCATCAGGCCATGAGATCAAATAGTCTTATGGACACAGGGAGAAGTTTCTTTATAAAAATGAAATTGACAGCACACCTGCAATATTGACATTATATTGACATTCTATGAAATAGCTGAAGGAAAAGTTAGAAATACAGCAGGAGTAATAACAGCACCGGCAGCGATAGTGACGGTGGTGGTATGAAAGAAATCACTGTGGCTTAAAAATGTCCCAGGGAAAACAAAAACTGTGAAGGGAAAGAATAACATCAAAGAACATAAGTACATAAGGGATATTCAGGTAAAACTGCAGATTTTGTAAAATGTCTGACCCTCTCTTAAATAAATATGTTGATTGTTTTAAATTTTCACGTCTACTTTGTTGGGTTTCAGGAGCATATGAAGAGGACTCATGTTACCACTTTGCAGATTGACTCATATTGTCTTTCCAGATGTGGCTTATGTTTCACTTTCTCATAATTGCTCTCTTTAATAGGTAGCATTGAATTGAAATCATTTAGTAGCTTCTGTAAAAATATTGGCAACATTTTCGAAGTTTTATTAAAAGTTTAATCTTTGAAAGTTTTAAATTATGTCCTCTGAGGGAATGTATTGGCAACTCTCTGTGAATGTTCTGCAAAATAAAATTAATCTTAAATAATTAAGAACAGGGAACTAGGAAGTCCACAAAAGTAGGGACTTACCTATCCATCTGGTACAATTCGTGCCAGCCATACCAATTAGTACAAATTTTATACAAGAAATTTTCCTCATAAAGTAAAAAATAACCCATATTACCTTGACCTAACTTACTAAATTTCAGGAATCATCTTTAGTATTCGTGTCATAGCAGGACTTATGTGAGAGGAAATCATAATCTCTACCTTGTTTAGGCCAGATGTATGCTTCTTCCCTCAGTACCAAAATACACCTTCTCCCACTGCACTGCACGTTTGCAAGACTGGGTCAGACAACACAGCAGGAGGCTCTTATTAAGGGGAAATGTTTTGCTGAGTTTCTCAAAGGCCAACCTAGGAATCACATACCTAAGAATTGCCCTCAGTCTTGGTTAAAAACACAAAATTCTGGGTCCTTCCACAAGATGACTTCCTGGAAATCTCCATGGAGAATCTGAAAGTCTGATTTTTAAATTAATATCCTATGTGCTTTTTATGCAGTTGAAATTTGGAAGATGCACTGATGTTGGGCATGAGATCTGAAGATCAAAGCACTACAGGTGTTTCAGTGCCTCAAAGTTCAAGCAAAGGCAAGGGACCGTCATAGAAAAGAAGTAAGCCTTGAGGATAAACCACTTCAGGGCAGATAATCAAGATCAGACATATTAATGTAACTGAAAGCTGAGTCCCTGTCCCCAATGCCAATCAATGCCAATTTAATAATGAAGACACGGTTTTGAGAAAAAGGAAAAAAAAAAAAAGGTTTATTGTTTGGGATACAGCAATTTGGGGTATGTTTAGACATCTTGAACAGCTGGGATTTGGTACAGCTGAAAAACCAGCCTCTACCTCAGAGCAAAGCCTGTCCAAAGAAGGGGACATGACCTTTGTCCTTGGAAAGACCTACAGAGCACTCCTAGGCACATACCCAACCTGCTGAGTTGTTTATCTACAAATAACAGGAGAGATCTGCTGCACCAGGTGTCCCTGACTCAGTCAGGCTAGGTGGGGACCCATAGCAACCCCCTAGCAGCCACCAATCAGCATGAGACAGGGAAAATACCTGGGATGCCAGATGACCCTCCCAGTAGTTTATGGTCATTGATAACATGTTGGGAAACCATGTAGTTTAGCACAAACTCCCCTCATGGCTTAAATTAATCAGTTCAAACAATCCCCCTCTGGTGCTGACTAATCACCCTTACCAAACTTGTTCCTGCCAGTGAATGTGCTAATCATGTTTTAGAGTTGTTATTTGATTTTCCTGTGGTGTGTGATGATTTGCTAAGAGATGCTATGATGTACGTGAAGTCCCTGCCTTCCCCAAAGAGTGTATAAAACTGCTGCAAGCCCTGGGCTCGGGGCCTCTCAGTGTCACCAGTTGCTGTGTGCGCAAGGAGGACCATGCTAGCTCGCAATAAACACCTCTTTCCTGCTTACATCAATCTTGGTCTCTGGTGGTCTTTTGGGGGTCCCGAATTCGAGCATAACACAGCTACTTATATTAAGAAAATAACCCTGGCTTAAACAAGATGGGGGTTTTACTTACCTCTCACATAAGAACTAAGCAATCAGTTCCACAACTTCTCCAAGGGCCTTTGCTTCTTCCAGGTGTCTGCATTACCATCCTGGTAGTATGGTCTTTGCTTATATTATGGTTGCTGGAGCTCCAGTCATCACAAATTGTTCCAGGCCAAAGAAAGTTTCAATGGCAAAGATACGCATATCAGCCAAATTAGTCTCCTTTTAAAGAAGTCTTCCTAGACATCCTATGTAACAATTTTCACCTACATTTCAATTAGTAGTTTCTATTTATCCAAAAGAGCTCTTGAAATGTAGTTAGGGCTGTTACACAGCAATCTCCAACAAACTGGAGTTCAGGGAGAAGGGAAGAATGAATATAGGCACTTGGAAGTCTAGATTCTCTTCTGTATTTAATATTTGGCTGTGGGTAATTTATACATCTTCCCTAGAACTCAACTTTTCATTTGTAAACTAGAAACTAACACTGACTTTTCAAGATTGTTATAGTGTTTAAAGATAATGTTATGTAAACTACACAATAAAGATTTAATAAACTAAAACTGGGCATGGTAGCACACACCTGTGATCCCAGCAGCTTGGGAGACTGATGCAGGAGGATCACAAGTTCAAAGCCAGTCTCGGCAATTTAGCAAAGCCCAAATCAACTTAGCAAGGCTCTATCTCTAATAAAATATAAAAAGGGGCTGGGGATGTGGCTCAGTGGTTAAGTGCCCCTGGGTTGAATTACCAGTACCAAATAATAATAATAATAATAATAAACAATTTACCAAAAAAGCTGTAACTTCTAAAATACATTTTTGGACTTATTGAGCATTATTTTTTTTATAATTTCATGAGTATTTCCTTCTTATTTTGTTGTGAACTTTTTTTTATATATCTTAACTTTATTTATTTATTTTTATGTGGTGCTGAGGAATGAACCCAGGGCCTCACATGCTAGGCGAGCACTCTACCACTGAGCCACAACCCCAGCTCTTATTGAGCTTTATTGTAGGAAAGGTTAATTATCTGATTACATCAAATATTGGGGCAACATCATACTGTCTTGCCAGTGGAGCTCAACTATTTTATATATCTCATGTCATTACTCTGGGGAAGAAATGATTCTGAATTAACAGACTACTATAGAGTTTGTCCACTGCTAAAAAAACTAAGCATCTGGGAATAATGTAAATCATTAATAATAAAGAGATATGTGATAGATAATCCAAATC